AGGAGTGGCCAACAGGACCATTCACACAAGAGCCCATGGTCATGTGACCCAGAAAGACTGAGGCAGAGAAGACCAAGCATAGAGGCCACATCAGTTGTTTCAAAAAAAAAAAAAAAAAAAGCCGAAACTGCACTAAACTGAGCTAAAATTAAGTAACATTCAGCTTTCCCAGAGGCTCCCAAAGTCCTTCCAAAGTAAAACTGCCAGCCAGCCCCAAGCCGCCTGTTTGGTTTTTGAGTTAATGTCTTTATTTATTTGCTTCAGTTTCTTCCCTGCAGTTCACATGCAGACTATTTTGTACCTTCTTGTTTGGTAACAAGGGCTCTCTCAAGGTGTTCACAAGCCCAGGGGCCAGGGTGGACAAGGGCGGTGGGGGTGAGGTCCTGGTTCTCCAACAACAGATGACAGGCCTACACATGTCCCCGGCTCCCTCCACCTTGACATGGCAGCTAGAAGCCAGCTTGAAAGAGGAATTGGGCTGGCCACCGGTTTTATTTCCCGTTGTGCTGCAGAGTGGCCCCACACTACCTACCTCATGTCCTCTAGGGGCTAAACCAATGTGGATGTGAATGGGGATGGTGTTCAGAAACTTTGGTTGGGAGATGGTGGAGGTGACAACGAGAAATAGAAGTCTCATTTCCTGCTTCCACAGTGGGCAGTCGAGGTTGGGAGACAAGGTTTAAATGTTCATGGTTGGAGAGCTGATCTCCGAGACACAGAAGCACTGCTCAGGGAAGGGAGGGAGGAGGCCCAGTCTGATGTGGTGGGAAGGGAATCTGGGCTCTGGGGTATGGAGCTCAAATGAAACGAGGAGATCAATTAAAAAGTAATCAGTATTTTAAGAATCCCTGGATGTACAAACAGTTAACATGCCCAGCTGATAACTAAAAGGTTAAAGGCTCAAGTTCACCCAGAGGTCCCCCAGAAGAAAGGCCTGGCAATCTGTCACCATAAAATCAGCCCCTGAAAACCCTGCGGCCCATAGCTCTACTCTGACACACGAGTCACCAGGAGGTGGGACTGACTCCAGGACAACTGGTATAACCAGTAGTTAACGTAAAAGTACTGTACGAAGAAGGAGCTCTAGGGGTGTAGTGGTTAAGGAATTTGGCCATTATCTGAAAGGTCGGTGGTTTGAACCCACCAGTTGCTCCACAACCTGAGGCAGTCTGCTTCCATGAAGATTTACAGCCTTAGGAACTCAATGCAGGTCTCTATGAGGCGGAGAAGACTCGATGGCAGTGAGTTTGGTTTTTAGTATCTAAGAAGAAACTGACTAGGCTGTGTGTGTTTCTGTAATTGGCATACCAATCTGTGCATGTGTGCAGGGCCCTTTAACTGAGGTCCCAGGTACAAAGGCCTATCACTATGGAATGATCTTTTCCTTCTTAAATAGTTTTTGGGGAGATGGCTAATAAGAGCTTGCAAAAACAAAGCAAACATGGTACTTCCCTCTCATCCCTAGCAATGTGGACCATAAGCAGCACTCAGTGTGAACAGACAGTTCTGATGGCAAAGAGGATTGAGCTTCCACTGGTGTGTCTGTAGAAACGGCACCTCTGCCGTCCATCAGCATATTCAGAAGGGACAGGACAGCCTTGAGCTGGCCCCTCCCTGCCTCCCTCCTGCCCCCCACCTAGCCATCTTCGATCAAATCCAGACCTTTTTTCCCTGATCTGATGGCCAGACTTTCCTAGCAGTGGGCTGGAAGGCTGAGCCACCATCCAACGGTTTGGCTAATTTGGGGATCATGGATCCCTTGACTGATTGTGTACCAACCAAAGAGAAGGAATCCCCTGGGTGGTGCCAATGGCTAATGTGCTCAGCTGTTTGCTGACCAGCTGGTGGGAGGGTCTGTTCCATCTACATGTGCCTTGGAAGAAAGGCCTGGTAGTCTGCTTCCCAAAAAACGCATCAATGGAAATGCCATGGAGGAAGAACCGTTCTCTTCTGACACACCTAGGGTCACCATGAGTCAGAGTTGACTTGATGGCAACTGGTTTAACTGAGACTGTGTATTTTGCCCATCTTAGTGTCCTATTCAAGGCAAGAAGATGAAGAATTGATGCTTTTGAATAAATTATTGAAGAATATTGGATATACCATGGACTGCCTGAAAGAACGAACAAATCTGTCTTGGAAATAGTGCAGCTCAAACACTCTTTAGAAGAAGGACGGTGAGACTGTGTCTCACGTAC